AGCTTTTGCCGGTCTCGAGATGAAAAATCGGTACAGAGGCCCAGCGCACATACAGACACACACACATAGACAACCTCTCGTCAATATGCGTTTTTCGCATTGCATTGCTGCAAAAAACGCATAAAAAAAAATCAGTTGTATGAAGCAGTAAGCAGGTCCAGAGACACTATTTTTTCCCAACAAAATATTAAAGTTCATGTTCTTCACTGTCTTCGCTTTCTATGACAGACGATGACACGCGGGAAGCGTTTAAACAACCGCCTGCTGGAAAGGTTAACTATGGTTCTCTCATTCGAGGGTTGCATAGAAGCAAGCTGATAACTGTTCCGACTTCCTGGAGTGCACCAATACTAATTGCTATCGAAAAGAATGAAAAAATCGTAGAAGAACTTATTAACCTAATGATCGAGTCCAAACTTTGACTGTTCACATGCAGTGCAGCACTATTTGTCATTGTCTCATACCGTTCAACAGAATGATGAAGGGAAGCATAAAAAACAGACGCACTAAAAGTGAGGGGAAACTCCTTCCCGGCAGTAACTCAAAAACGTATCACTGATATGCTGGTAATATAAGAAGTTAATATTGAAGTATCCATGATTTTCATTTATTTGAATTTAAACGTCTGCGAATATTCTAAAAATTTTACGTGACAATGAAATAAACTGGCAGCATCCTTAGAAATTAAAAAATGCGATTTTTCTGAAAAACTGGACAGACATAACCCCAGCGGTTTTTTCGCATCTTCGCTCCGTTAAACTAAAAAATGGCTCAAAAAAAATGAGGAAGCACCGAACTTCGACTGAGTTGCTCTATTCATCCCTGCTACTCAACTACATCCGTTTCAAAAACTTGGGCAATACTAATGTTTTGCCCACTCTCTTGGATGCAGCGAAATAAATAGACCATACTTTCGAAACTGTCAAAGTAAGATCAATCAAGCATGCATACAGTCAAATCCGGGCGGTGGTGCATAGGCCGAGCACGGATGGGAAGGGAGGAACTGCATAAAGTTTAGAGTAATCTAGGAATCCGAGAGCCGGTTCCCCAGAAAACTCAGAAAATAAGCAAACCTGGGCAAAAAGTTTGTTTTGCGTCATTATCGCTTCCAGGTATGTTTGATTGTGCTCGTGTGCATGATTGTGTCGCCACATATGGGGGAACCAA